CTTCCGCCGCGACTGTTCTTCTGAGCTGGATTCAGTAGACTACGTTCCTAGCTAACAAATGAGCGGTTGGTCGGTTGTCTACGAGCACCTGGAGAGTCACGACAAATATTTTCGTGCGACGTGTTTCTGTGAGTGGTGCAAACAGAAAATGCGGCGTTCATTGGAGCAGAGGTATRCGATTAAATTCTGTGTGAAACTCAGTAAATCGGCGACATAGACGTTTGATATGATCAAGCAGGCTTACCTAAATGTTGCTTTAGTAGCACCAGGCTCTTTTTGAAGAGGTCACTGATGAAGACCGAAAGAATGGCAAACCCCAAAGTGAAAACGATGCTCATTGTCTTTTTTGACATCAAAGTCAACGCCTACCATGAATTTTTTCCTCCTGGACAAACCGTCAACGATAAGTTTTACCTGGAAGTCCTGAAAAGATTCAAACAAACGTTCAATCCTTTCCGACGAGACATCGCAGCCGATTGGAAGTTGCACCACGAYAATGCCTTGGCTCAYGYCGCCCTTCTTGTGAACAGCTACCTAACCASGCTTCCGTAGCCGCCCTGCAGCCCAGATGTGGCCCCCCGGACTTTTCTGTTTCCTTKCCTGAAAAGGCCGATGAAAGTGAATCCAAGCAGCATGCACTTCCCAAGGATATTCCGGAAAATACATTCCGTGACGCCTTCAATACTTGCAAAAACCCCTTGSCCATAAAACCAAGATTATGTAAGAAAAATTAAACACACACAAGCTCAAAGATGTCATCGCTTGCATGGGAGCTCCAAATCCAACTACTAAATTTAAGTTAGGTCTCATCGGTATCCTCTTCAAATTCCTGTTGACTATCTTTCAAGGTGATGCTAACAGCTTACTAAATTTTTGAAAGTTTTTGTTGTTTTACCAAACAAAAAAAAAAAAAAGCCGCAAAGCTGCAATTTTGTTTCAGCTTTATAGTAAAAGTTCCTGACCGCTATTGTACTGAGCGGAAGCTGTTCATCAACTTCCAGTTAGAAGTTGCTTCTTCGCCCTTTCAGTCCTCGTGAACTAGTTTTATTTGCTTCAAGTTACGTTCCTCTTGACTGCGCCATTTTTTAAACTTGCCTGTCAGTGCGGTACTCCTTATCAGCTTTTATGATTTTTTCTCATTGCCGCTACTTGCAAGTTTTTCACATACTTTATTTACTAGTTTGCGTTGTCAGCAGAGTTCTACATATATACTTTTATCAAAATGAACACGAAAATGTGAAAAAGAATATCACAACTAGTAACAACTCTTACTTTACCTAGACTTCATTCATCAACATATCATCCGCACAGATAACTCCATATCAGCGTTGTGAAGTCATGCTTCAACAGCCCGTTAGCAGTGGGCTGCACCTGTCAGTGTAAGCTCTGCTTGTGGAAATGTTGTCACCGGCATCAGCACCGGATGTGCCCGGAAATTCAATTAATTGTTTACGTTGGCATTTGTCTGTGGCGCTGTAAGATAACGTTTATGTGCCAGAGTGTGCTTTCGCGTGTGTGTACTGAAGTAGGTGAGCACCAGCTTACATTTTATATATAGTCGTATTTATGTAGGAAGTGTGTAGTATATCAGCCGACACTTCCAAATGATCGTACTGTGCTGTACCTTCTGCTCCAATCTATAAGATCTACTAGCATTGCCACATACAAAATAATCTGCTGAATTACATGGTTCTTAACTCTCGAGGGGTTCGTAAAAATTTAAAATGTTTGATAAAAAATCTTTTAGGATTAAACTTTGTATTAAACCTAATTCTTTATTTGTTATCAACCTTCCTTATTTCGAAATAACTTTTTGTAACTGCCTTTTCGCCTTCAAGTCGGGCAGTTCTCACAGTTGAGGCATTTGGTCCATTAAATACCACCATTTAATACCTTTTACTTGCAATCAGTCTATGGCCTGAGATATTTCTCATATCTCAATTCAATGTTGTCTGCTCAATCGGTGACTGAAATTTGCCAGCTAAGCGTATTTCGTCCGTTCAACACTTTGTATGCGGCTCCATGCTATTCTTTGTTTTAAATCCAAAAACTATTTTTAAATCCAAGTAGTCATGGCTTTGATGCTACATTCGCTTCAAACTTAATTAATTGCACGCGTTTTTGCACCTATTCTATGGGGTGCGAGTGAATGCGCTTGATGGTGAAGGGCTGAGGCGACACAAACTCCGAACGCGCAACGCGTTGCGCTTGCTTCCATTTGAGCGTCTATGATTTTTGACATATCCTTCTCTGGCTTTCACTACATTTTCTGTCTATTACACGTTTTCCATTCTTGCTCAGCGTTTTCACTGACTAATCAATTTTGCTTGAGGTATAATATGGGTTGGGCTCTACACCACCCCTGTATAAGTAGATGCTCCTACTTTCAAGTGCTTATTCTCCGCCGCCTGCATGCTGTTGGCTTCCAGGATTTGTGTGTGGAGGATTTTCCTTGCAATTAATGTGAGCAAATATATCTGCCTTCCAAAGCACAAAAGTGCCGATTCATCAATAACAATAGGATATTTGGTTTACTTGCAGCGCTCCACCTGTACGAAAGTGTGTGTGTGTGCTTTTTTTTCTGTGCGAAAACATTTATTGGTTGAACTGAGGTTCTTGTTGGTTACATGTGTTGTCGCTAAGACATCCTATGAGATTTCGGCATTTGACTGATTTCTTCGTCCTAATTTGATGCTCAAAAAGCCAAGAGCATTAAAGTTGAAAATCAAATACGAAGGTACTTGTAAATAGAGTTTTTCAATATCTAGCAAGGATTTTCACTGATGCTTATTATTGAGTGTGGTGAAATGCTAGTATACTAAGATCCAAAATTCCACAATTGATATTTTATAGATGCTTGAAACTTTTCTTTGTTGCCCTTAAATAGTTTAATCTTAATACTTAATAGTATTGTGTTCATAAAATCCTATTAGATTTGCTAAAGAATCACCCTTTCTTATATTAAAAAAATATTTTATTTAAAGCATTATATCAACTTGCGAATTTCCTAAAATGGCCTTTTTTGTAAATATAACATCGAATACTGTGTACTATTTGAAAAAAAAAAAGAAAGATTTTAAGTTTGTCAGGAAAATAGCTTGGCTGAAATGAAAATTTTTTACTTAGTATAAGCGGCTTCCAAAACTTTAAACAAGTTTTTCTTCAAGGGCAGTTTCAGAGTCGGAGACTTAAAAGTTTCGGATTATATGTAATATGTGTCAGGTAACAATCGTAGAAAGACATATCGAAGATTGATAGAAATTTCGATTTCATAAACTACTCTAAAATGAAAATTTCCTTACAAAAACGATTTTGTTTAGAAAGCATTCATTAATGTATCTTTAAAGTATTTTTTTTTTTGGTTTTTGGATTTGAGGTAATTTTAAGTAAAAACATTTTATTAACAGCCTGACTCATTTTTTTGTAGAGCTTTCTTTAAATTCTTCAAAAGCACATTAATTTTATTACATAAAAAGCATTTTTAAAAATTTTTTATTCACAAAACAAAACATGTCTTTTCCGTTTCGTAGCTGGATATACTCATTAAATATGCCATCCATATCCAATCTCTTAGTTTCTATTACGATTAATGAGCAGCTTTTTGAAGAGAAAAGTTCGGGTGTAAAATTTTAGATCGACACCTCAAGAACTAAGGGACCAGTAAGCGTATTTACAGACAGACGGATGCAAATGATTAAGGAGTTACATGGCTTTACGATTTTTCTGTAAAATTATCTGTCAAAAACCCATTTTTTATTTATTTTTTTGTTTTGCTTCGTCCAAGTTCTACGTTAAGGTTAAGGTTTTAACTCGCATTTTTTTCACTTTAGAAATCGTGTAAGAAACTATCCTGCCAACTCGCGCGCATCTTTTATTCGAGGGGTCACCGGAAATGGCGCTCAAATGTTTTTTCCAAAAATTTTAGGAGTTCGTTGTTAATAGTGTATGTTGTTAACAGTAAAAATTTTGATAAAACGCTGCTTTTTACCCGATAAAGCCTATCTAATACGTACGTATGTACATATATAATTCATACGGTCTCCGACTTTTCCTTCGAGGTGTAACAAACTTCGCGGCAAACATAATGTAACTCGTTCAGGGTGTAATAAATATCCTCGTGCATTTTTTAAGCATTCTTGCTAAATGTACGTCTGTATGTATGTATGTTTAATGTACRTATATACATATATGAAAGTCTCSAATGTACCAAATTACACGTAAGCCAATGAGCGCTGAAAATATTTCCCTGTATTTAGGCGGAACTTCCGCCTATGGCTTTACGTGCAATATGTTGAGTGAAAAAAGGAATTTAAGAGAGCATATTTTCATTTTAGATGGATGTTTAACATTTAAAGTTAATAAGTATATTCAAATTCGCCCGCGGTACCTATACATATTTATAAGCCTCAAATATATGAGTATTTTCATATTTAAGTAGATTAGTACCTATAAATAAAAGCTGCATTGARAATTTTGTGAATTCAAATTTATTATTTACAGCTCGATTACAAAGTTTATCTTATTTATTTAATCGTATCGAAGAGTCAATTAGGGTCTGCTCTTTATTCAGCTAAATGAACTCTTTATTACTTATATACATTCATGCTTKAAACGAAATTCTCAAACAAGGAAAGCCGAACATGACCTTCGCGAATTCAGCATTTTACGCCTATTCATCCAGAGAACTTAAAACATGTTTTAAAACATCTTCGTTCATATTCTTGCGCTGCCGCTCTGAAAGGTATTTCGCACTTGGGTGCCGGTTTGCTGAGCGACATCCTGCTGGAAGCTCTCGCTCTCATATTCTCTGACTTCTCTCACAACGGTTTCCCAAATATGCATACATACATACAATTCACTTGCTCTGCATGATTTCAGCTTCGTGCGAATGCCTATGCATATTTTAATGTTGCGAATTACGTACGTACACGAAATGCCAGAGTAGTGTAGGTTAGTTTCAGCTGTTGGTCGTTAGGGGTGAAGTGATGCTGCTTCTTTAACCACTTCGTGTGTGTTCGCATTTTGCGTTGGCTGGGCATGCAAATTGCAGTTAGTTGTGCTGATAACGCGTAACGAATTACATCTTGCCGTCAGTGAAGTTATATTATTTAAAGTGTAAAACTGTTTCGAGAAAATTCGGGATTATATTAAAAACATTAACAAAAAGTGAATATACATTTGCATTACTTCTAAATACTGTTAGTGCTAAAGATTATGCATTTATAAAGTATTACAGAGTGATAATTGTTCCGTCGGTGACTGCATTTCGTGATCGGCGTGCAAATTTTGTTAGTGTTTTTCTTTTCGCTTATTTTTGTGCCTTACGGTGCATTGCCCGTGGGATGGTGGCTCGCCGCTACATTTGTAATTGGAATCTCACTATGAATATATGTACATAGAYGATTCCATTGACCGCGTGCACGTATGAACTTGTACACGCTGCCTCAGACCGACATCATAAATTCCGTGACACTTCGCGGCATATATATAATTAATAGATTTTATTTGCATATATACATATGTACATATAAACATAATTGACTATTGTGCAAATGTATGTACAAGAGTTGAAACATATCTAATTAAGAGTTGATTGTTTTTGATGTGCATAACAATAAATTGTGATTACTCAGCCTCATTACACTATATTTTCTCTTACATGGAATTTTAATTATTTTGCTGAATCGTTTAGCAACAATCGCGTTATTTACATTTTGCTATGCACACACATGCACATACATATGTACATATTGGTGTGCAGTCAATATACAATGTTGAAAGAGTTTCGCTGAGGAACATTTCACACAGCGACATTTGGAATAAATGAAGAGAGTGGAGAATTTGTAACAGGTGAGTTTGTCATTCATCAAACTCAAATATTACTGTTATTCATAAGAATTTGATTAATAAAATATCAGCTTTTCAATTGTTTTGCCTGCTTTCTGCTAATCTGTGCGTATAAAGATGTGTTAGGCACTAGAGAACTTATGTGTGTTCTCGATATTTTCAAAGCTGCAACAATGCAGTAAAGAATGATAAAAATATAATAATAATTGCTTGTTAAAATCTATATTGTCCACAATACTTACAAAAATATTGAGTTAAAATCCGTTAGGTTAATGATAAACATCTGATAGAAATCCTTATTTTGGAACTAATTTTATTTAGAATTTAGGGATTTAGAATAGCACTCTACGATTTAGGAATTAAAATGGGTATGTACGAATGCTTTGTTATTGTGGGAACAAAAAGAATAGAACGAAATTTAAATATTGCTCAAAAGTTGCACTATTCAATATAAAATAAATGGAGAGAAATGAGCCAGTGAAGGGTTAGTTGATATAAAAGTATAAAATTAATTATATATAAAATCTTTTTATATTTCGGT